GTATACAAGATCAAATGTTGTGACTGCCAGGCTTCTTACATTGGTGAAACCGGCAGAAACCTAAGCACGTGACTGACCGAACACAAACGTGCGACGAGGAATGGTGACGTCAACAATCACATTGCTGAGCACCATTTAAAGACGAAACATCAAATTGACTGGGACTCTGCGACATGTATAACGTATTCTACAGACTACTATCAACGTCTTACTTTAGAAAGCTGGTTTACTAACTTCGAACAAACGCCACTGAATCATAGCCAATAGTTACCAGTGCCGTACAAACGACTTATTGACGAGATCAAGCAAAACTAACTACGAGAGAACAACTGGAGAACTGACAATTTGACTAACAATAGAAGACTGTTTAACTGTGACAATAGACGGATCTAAACGCACCAATCACTGATTATGAGTCTTCATAGCAAATAACATCACGGCTTAACTGACAGACGACCAATAACATTGCGACATAATTGACCAATCAGATCAATAACCAGAGTATAATACCATCAACAGACGTGACACGACTCACTTTGACTCTGAAGATGACTACCGCACAGGTTGTCGAAACGTCAGTCACTCTCAACAACAACAGTCCTATTCAGGACTACGTTCACCCAGACGATCAAACTCAACCTTTTGAAATGACTCCTGGGTTCAAACCTTTCACAGATAAAAAGATTATAAGAATATTTGCCTAGGGCCAAATTTTGTGTCTCCTGAATAGAGGTGTCCCTTCAACAGATGCAACAGATAAAAACATTATAAGAATAATTATTTGCCTGGGGCCAAATTTTGCATCCCCTGAATAGAGGAGTCCCTTCAACAGGTGTAACAGATAAAAAGATTATAAGAATATTTGCCTGGAGCCAAATTTTGCATCCTCCCTTCAACAGATGTAACAGATAAAAACATTATAAGAATATTTGCCTAGGGCCAAATTTTGTGTCCCCTGAATAGAGGTGTCTCTTCAACAAATGCAACAGATAAAAACATTAAGAATTATTTGCCTGGGGCCAAATTTTGCATGCCCTGAATAGAGGAGTCCCTTCAACAGATGTAACAGATGAAAAGATTATAAGAATATTTGCCTGGAGCCAAATTTTGAATCCCCTGAATAGAGGTGTCCCTTGAATAGAGGTATCTGAAAGAAGAGGTTCCACTGTATAATATTCTATTTATCAGTTCAATTACGAGCCAATACTTATAAAACAGAGGTATTATTTATATTTATATCAATAATAATAACAATAATAATAATAATAATAACATCATTCATTAAGGATAAACACATAACATTCAGATACTGACAACATTATAGACCTTAAGACTCTAATAGAAGTGACTATATCTATATACATTGTATGATCAGAAAAACCCAATTTAACCAGGAGAAGTCCTTTATCAAAATACCACCCAATTTACTTAAGTTACATTCTATTTTGCTATGCTAGTAGTATTACCAATGAAGGTTTACAAACGAACCTAATCAATCAATCTTTCCTGTGGTAATGACGTCCTTTAACATATAGCTGCCTCTCTATTGTTGGAGCCACCCTGTTCAAGACAAATTGCCACATTAATTTTAACATTTACTCCTACGAGAAAAAACCCCAGGCCCGTTGTACCACACATTCAATGACTTCCACGCCTGAGTCAGCAAACATTTCCAAAACTAAATCCATTTTTAAATTTAGCAGGTAACCATTGATAATCATCATTCTCATAATCGGTCTACTGTAAGTCGTCTCCAACTGTCTTGCTCTTGGACAGCATACACAATGTCATTCTCTGAGAAATGCCAGAGAATCCACTCCTCTGCTTTGGTGTAACCTCCCAAGCAAGTGTTTTTACCAGAGCTTGTACAGTGTATTTCGTCTCTTTCGGCATCAATGCCTGCTTGGTCAGATCATTGTCTCAAATCTTACAAACGTGCATTAACTAGCAGCTTATTTAAACTATGCTTGACTTCATGAAAGCAGAAAAAAAAAACAAACATCAAATACAATAATTACTCAGGCTTACCAGTCAAGATGCAGCTCCTGAAAGCCATCAAGTCAGGCCAGAATCACTTGAGACTTTTCAACCCTCTTAAAAATACACATCAAGCAAGGTGAAGTGAGTAGCGCATTAATTTTTATAAAACAATCAGATGCCATCCGAAATCAGATTTCCGATTACTTTGACAAGAGGCCCACTTCTCAAACAAAAACCCAATAAACAAATCAGCCAAGAAAAACAGAAGAATCTTGATGGCAGATGTATTAATTTTCATTTTGTAAGTGCAGTGGAAAAAGAGTTAAAAACATCACAAGATGACACAAAACTCTGTCACCCTCAGCTATCAGTAAACAAGACAGTTTCCAGATGCAGCATTTACCGCATGAACTCACAGCCCACCAATCAGAACATAAAAATTGGGCGTAGAGCCTGACCAATGTGTGACCATGGTGAGAAAAGTCAAAAGCAACTGCCTTCCCTGCCTGTAATGGCTGGCTGAATTTTTGCATCCAAGGTCAGTTTGAAATTAAAATTTTAATAGTGTGGCTCATAAACACAACTTATTTCCTACGCATTTTTAAAAAAATTGAAATTGATTCTGGGATCATTAATTTTGAAAACTAGCAACTTGTCAGCGGATAACTTCAAAAAATACTCGACCTCGCTGGGTCAATACCTGAGCCCTCAATACGGTCAGGTGATACTGGTCATCAGATACCCTGTTTTGACAGCTGTCAATTTATCACAACATGAATGTGCAATATCAGGTTGCACCTGGGCTCCCAAACTACTTATAGCTCGAAAGTGTGAGATGGATGGTCGAGCGGTTGGTGTATGATCATGTGATAACCAAAATTTTCTCGGATGGATAGATTTTCTTAGCTATGGCGTTCCGCTATTACCAATAAAGGTCCACCAACCAACCTGATGACTGGTGATCTCTAATTCCCTGAGGTAATGACATCCTTCAGATCAGTTGCCTCTCTAATGTTGGAGCCACTCATGAACATCTGTTCAAGACAAATCTTTAGTATTCTTTTCTGCCTGAAAAAGAAATAACCAAAGGTTAAGCAAAGCAAGTACATCATTGATAATTTGAGAGTTTCTAGGTTATTTTACTATTACTAGGTATACCTATCGATAGAGTGCCAAGGAGCAAATCATGCGTATTTTGCATAGGAATGGATTCCTTTTTTCCAACATTTGACAGTTTCTTGGTCCCTTCTTGTTGAAAGGATTATTTCCTTAAAACTGAGGTGCTATGCAAGTATAAACTAGGTTCAGAGAAGAGTCAGTCCTCGAAACTGCTGTGGCTTTACGAACCTGCTATATAAAAGTTTGAAGTGTCATGAGGCATACTTTTTTGAAAGAATAAACCAGCTTGCAGAGGAAGCGATCGGTAATATTTAGGGGGAAATTTAAAAAATGATCGTTTCTCTTACCACTACAAAATTAGTGTCGGTTCGGTTTCACTTTGTAGATATAAATATTTGTGCAGTTTAATCATTTAAACCTCCTCTAAAATTTCCCGAGGCTTTTTGTCGAGTTCCCGATTGAATTTTAGAATGATTCGCTGCGCTACTTGAAATGTTTTCAAGGACATGCGATGTACGGCACGTCGGTATTCTGTTTTCACTTCGGCCAGGTTTCGAAAAAAAAAGCGTTGTTTTCTTTTCCTTCGTCGTTCGCTTTAGGCTTGTAATTCTTTTTTATTCTTATTTTTCCATTTGCTGGTTAGATTTTTTTAGATTTTTTTTTTTAGATTTTTTCCCCAACATCAGATTTTCCTACAGAAGCGACTATATGTTCTTCGTATCAAGCTTTCCTTATCTCCTGGTGTAATCTGATCCGTTTGCTTGTTTCACATGGAAAATTAAACTGTTGTTTTACAAGCTTCTCTTCGTTAAAACCTTACATTAATGGCCCCCCAAATTAATACAATGCATCAAGTTTTCATTTTCCTTGACTGCCGGGGCCAGATTTTGGTGAATAAACAATAACAGCATACCACACTCAAGTTCAGTCTTTGCGTGCCGCTGAGGAAAGAACACATGTGCGCCAACTATAGTTTGCCGCCTTTTGATTGGCTTAAACTGTCACACCACTTGGTCTCAGGGGAATCTACATTACATGAGGTTACACTTTTTGAAGCTCAATCGAGAATTTTTCTGCCTACAGCCGAGTCTTGCATGGCTCTATTCTGCTGCTGCGTCGCCATCCGAGTGTCTTCGCTCGGATGGCTCGTTGGCTCATACAAAGGGTTTATTCTAGAGCGCAGCCTTGCAGGATTTCTGCAAGGTGGAAAAAAAAATTAATATGCCGCATAAAATTTACATTGCTGCGTCAAATGGGATTAGGACTGTTTTTTTGAAAGAAACTTTTCATTTACGTTTGAAAAGAATTAGTCATTTTACCTCATGTTCAGTACTTGCAAGTCTGTAAATTATGATGATTTCAATAAACGTTCGTTTCTCATGGAACAGTCTGTACAAATAAGTTCAAATACCTTTTGGGGGACCCCCTTTCTTGAAAAAGGGCCCCCTAAAATTACAGAAGGGGGCCCATTTGACCCTCGTTGGCTAATTTCTAAAATAAACCCTGCATACAGGATTCAGTTATGCACAAAAAACATACAAAGCAACTGTTGTACTGTGAAGAAGGATGTTTTTTTGTGGTGATGGTGGTGGTCGATATGACATCTGGTTCCTCTTGAAAGCTGTTGGTTTCAAACTACAGTTGAACCTCCACTAATGTCCAACTCCCCACAATGGCCACTTCTCTACAGTGGGTACATCCCCAATAGGGATCTTCAATCCTGCCATACTGACCAAAATTTTCCCTTCATCCCGAAATCCCAAAAGTTTATCGCAATCACAATCTCGGTAAAATCTTTTAATTGCATTACATCACATTATGATGTCCAAGCCTCATCGTAATATTATTATAGCCTGTGTAGCAGGCGCACGAGTCTTCAATATTTCTCCTATCACCTAAGACCGCAGGGGCGGATCCAGGATTTATTCAAAGAGGGGGTTGTAAGTATGAGAGTAAAATTTTCACCATCTGGAATCCCCGATCTCGGCGCTTTAAGGCAACAATTTCCTGAATCCCACTTCGTAATAACGCTAAATCCCGCGGCCAATCCATAAATACAATCCCGAATCCCCCTTCCATATTTCTTTAAAATCCCAAATCCCAGGCTCCAAAAAACCCACTGGGGACACTCTCTACAATGGCCACTTATTTTAATTGCTTCTTGTTAACGGCCACCTTTGACAAAGGCAATTGCCACTTAAGTGGTCCCCAACTATCAGTTTTTTCAGCTACTGATGAAAAAGGCAAGAAAGGTCATGAAATTTGATTCCTATAGAGAGGAGAAGGCGTTATATCACATTGCCATGGTAGCAAAATTTTTGGATGACAACAAACCGATAAAGCCACTTAAAAGTCTATTACCTAATGATTATAATTATTTTCAAAGGACAGAATAATAAAAAGAACTTCTAAGGCTTCACTCATTGAACGTCCTAGAATGCAAAGCTAATGACTTTGTAGTATGCTTTGAACGTCCTGGGATGAAATTTCCAACAACTTTCAACGACCTGGACTAATACCTTTAATGGTTTCTCAAATGCTTCTAATGGTAAGCTATACTTTCTCACAGTTTTACTAACAGCTTCAACGCTTTTCAAAGTCGTTTTAACACTTAGTTGCCTTTTATGTCACCTTCCTGATGCACTACCTCGTAGTTGATGACTTTTACACTCTTGGCCCTCCTGGCTCTTCTGTCGCTAAACACAATCTGAACAAGTCTGTTGACTGTTTTTATAAGCTTTGCATCCCCTACATCCAGACAAACACGAAGGGCTGCAGATGTGCCTAACAATCCTAAGCATTGAACTGGACTCTCTTAATCTGCAGGTACATTGTATGCCTTCCTCAGGACAAATTTGATAGTATAACTGCCTTGTTGGAGGAATGGTCACAAAAGTCATGGTGTAAAAGCAAGCAACTGGAGTCTCTAATAGGTCACCTTCAGCATGCCTGCAAGGTCATATTCCAAGGTCACTCTTTCTTGTGTTGAATGATCAACCTGCTATGAGCTTTTTGCCGCGATGACCACCCGATTTGTCTCAATCAGGAGTACTTTCTTGACCTAGCCTGGTGGCAAGAGTTTTCAAGTCTTGGAATGGTTGCAGCTTTCTTCAGTACCTTCAGTGGGCTCCACTGCCCTACTTCGAGGTTCCTTCAGATGCATCTGGAGCTCTTGGTTATGCAGCAGTTTTACAGGGTCACTGGTTTTCAGTCAAATGGCTTCCTACACAGGTCCCTCAGTCAATTGAGTACAACCCAGATTCTGCAGCTGCTCCTCTTGGATTTGGATATTTACAGGCAGATAAATGCCACCTCTATGTGCTTCTGGGTCTTGCCCCTTCTACTTGGAAAGTTTATGCCTCTGTCTAACACTGCTTCTTGAATGTCTGTGCTCAGAACAATAGCCTATCTGGATCAGCTATCAGCCAGTGAAGACGTGCTCATCCTTTTCCACTGCCATCTTGCCAATGCTCTCCCAGCATTCATCCATAAAGGTTTATCTTTTAGAAATCTGGTCCCTTCACTGCTGGTTGGTTGCCTTCAGTTACACCTTGTATTGCAGGGTATCAAACGTCACCAAAGCTCTAATAAGTGTCAACACCAACCCATCATAATCGAGCTGATGCACATTTTTTCCCAGTCCTTGAACTTCTCTGACTACAACCATACAATGCTTTGGGCTGCCTGCTGTCTTGGGTTTTTGGGTATCTTATGTACTGGTGAGTTCACCGACAATTCCCACTTCAATCCCAACATCCACATTGCTGTCAGCGATGTGCACATTAACATTAAGTACTCTACAATGGACCCCTTTCGCAAAGGTTGCTATATCCACATTGGTGCTGAGAAACATAATCTCTACCCCATGAGCCCCCTTACCCAGTATATACATTTCCGTGGCTCAACGTCTGGCCCACATTTCATTCTATCTGAATTGACAATTGCTGATATCTGGTATTCAATCCACCCTCTCCGCTGCTGGGGTCCCTGGTTGCTACATTGGTCATAACTTCTGCATTGGCACAGTCATTTCAGCAGCCTCTTATGGCTTACCAGATCACCTCATCAAGATACTTAGCAAATGGTCCAGCGATGCATATCAGATCTACATCCACACTCTCATCAGTACTATTATGGGGTCGAAAGCCTACTCAGCTGACAGGTTATTTCTTGCATATCTTTCTCTCTTTCTTGTTATTTTTGTAGGGTGCTTCGGGACTTTGATAGTTCAGGGCCAGGGCTTGCAGTTTAGGGCTTGCAGTCTGTAAGGCATTGTTTATAAAGTTAAGGTTTTCTGAAAATAGTCTACCTCTTCTTTGAATGTGTACCGCCGTGGGGAAAATTATTGTCGTCAAACTGCCGAGAGGGTAGTGTGGTTTATTAGTTGCAAGGATAGGTCACTAAAAGAAAAAGGGAGAGTCCTTGTGCAGCAGTTTGGTGCAACTGCATCCTGTTTGCCTTACTGAAAGTAAGTGAAAGGCAGGCTACTGCTGAGTAGATTCATAAAGATGTCACAAGGTCTTGATTGATAGCCTAGAGAGTACAGCTGGTAATTACTGTACGTTGCATCCGTGCAGTTCAGCACTAGTACATGGAAATAGAATACTGGTAAAAAATGTTTTACATCAAACCTGCCATTAGAAAGTTTGTAGCAGTCAGGTATCTGCAGGTACCTTGATCTACTCTCAGTAGACAGGGGGTTCATTAAGGTTTTGAACAGGAGGGCAACTGAGTTTGACACCTGGGCAAAGAATTGGCAAGGCCCTCCAGGCCTTGCTCCCAAGGGGGGTCTGGGGGCATGCTCCCCCGGAAAATTTTGAAATTCTATAGTCGCAGGGATGTGTTTTCCTGCATTTTGAAGCTGCAGACAATGACTTTCAACAACCAAAAAAAGATAACTTTTCTAGACAATTTAATCATGATTTGAATCACAAAAGTATTAGTTTAACAACTTATCTTTAAAATTTCAATGACTAGATGGGAGGAGCACTGTTTTAACGTGAACGCACCGAAAATTAATTCATTGGCGTAAACCATAAAACGAAAACAAATGACGCTTCGCTTCGTTGAACATGATAATTGAGCCATTCAATATACACAGGCAAGTAAAAGGTTAAATCACAAAGAAGTCTACTCACCTCTTGGCCTTTTCTCTACTGGAGGCCCTTTGGTTGAAGCCGAAAAATAATCAGTATTCTGCTATCGAACACGTTCTTTTCTGGGCTGCCATGCTCACGTGCTCGCAACACTGATACATTTCAGGTGGTCGCTTATGAAGCACAGTTCTTTTCACAATGTGTTATCGGGCGATTCTTCTTTTTAACACATAACGAACGAGGGGATTTCATGCCGCGTGTAAAAAAGTGGAAATTGCACGGCAAAGTATGTTTTACACTCGATAAGACTCACGATTGTAACTTAAAACTGTTTTTGATTGTTCCTTGTATTAAAAAGAAGTTCTTTGAGATGTAAAGCAGCCGGGCAAAGTCGTGTTCACAGCCGGTCAATTTGCCAGGTGCCCGGCCCTTAATGAACCCCCTGAGTAGACTGTAGTTTGTGCAGCAAGGTCTCTTCCATAGGGACTAGAATTATTGAATGGTTCTTGGTAAGTTGGAGACTCATAGCCACTATAAGACTGGAGTACATGTACGCTATTGTGTAGCTTTGATTAGGTAGCACCTGAAGTATAGTGCACCATAGTCTGCTGTAGTGTAGAATGTTAAGTTGCCATTGTGTGAGTAGTCTGTTTTTTAATTGGCAGTGTAATTGGGGCCTTGGCTCCATCCATCACAGGTCTCCACAGACCATAGGTCTTCATACAATCGTCATGTAGGTTGTTAGCAACGTTAAAACATTTGTCAAATTTTCCTGCAAAGCAATTCATGGTGAACAAAACATTCGTTAAATTTTGGAGATTAAAAAATGGTAAGGGGCTGAGACTAGGGAAATACTTCTCAAAAGAGAATACACTTCTCCAGTGTTAATCTAAGTCCTCTACCTGGAATCGCATTTTTAAGACAAAAAATTTAATTATCCTTTAAAAGCATTAATTTTAAAAGACTCTCTGACACACTAACCTGAAATACACTTACATGCACGTCTGTCTGCATCCAGTGCTTAAAACAACACCAATCATGTACCAGTACATATAAAATGTAGCAACCATTTCTTGCCTGTTGGAAGTTAAGGAAAAAATGAAACAGTTTACATACTGTGTACATGTAAGAAACGTATTATCAAACAAAATGCAGAAGGACGTTTGGGTCATTATATGTTTCTGGGCCAGAACTGCCTGCCTACCCCTCCACTAAGCCAACAGTTTACCCTTGAAAAGTTAGTGTTAATGTTGGCCAAGGGGAGGGATACATGTAGGCGGGCAGCTTCCCAAAAACGTATAATGATCTGGAAGGTTTAACACTAAATTAATTACGAATGGCTAATTTTCATAGAAAAGGGCCCAAAAATAGGTTCAGTCAGCTGGTTACTTTTTTCAGCATTCATCAAACCTTTACCTTTAAAACAAAACAGCCCAGGGGTAGTTTCAAAAAGGAAGCACTCAAAAACGAAGACCACAGCACACAGCACAAAACATCCAAATCTCAAAAACAATTTAAAAAAGGCTTAAAAAGGTGGATGAACCTTTATTGACATAATAGCTCATAATTATTTAAACTGTAAACATTTTCACCTTACCTATCATTCTCACTATACCATTTTGTACCTACACTAACAATTTTTACATGTACTTTTTTCACAGGACCTTTTATAGGGATAACCTTGTGTTTCTCTGTTTCAAATATGTATCATGTTTAAATGTAAATGTCTTTGAATAAAGTATAACTATAAAGACTTGATGTTTCATGTATTTCTGAAGGATTCTTGCCTACAGTTAGTTTCTCCACAGTCCACTTTCTAATGCATTTTCATTTACTATAACTGCTCAAGAAAAATCTTTTGGGTTTAATTTTAGTCTCTAACTAAATCACAAATCGTTCTTGTTTTCACCGTCCTTTTCTTGAAGTTTGCAGTAGATCTGGTGGCCCTAAGAAGTCCTCCCTTTCAAACTTGCATCGCAAGTGTGTATGACACTGTTATAAGGCAGTTACAGAAATCACCTTATTTAGGTAAGGGCCGCTTACACCTAAGAGTTATTGTTGATCACTGCAAATTTTGGGGGGTTTTAATTCTTTTTATCTTGCAAGCAGATCCTGGGAGGGGGATACTCTGGATTTCAAGTGACAGCAACACTTGAAAGATTTCTCTGGGTTTGAAATTTTCAGTTCGGGATGCTTTTGGGTAGGAAAATTTTGGCAAGAATCTTTTGGGGTACTAGCTTGATTTTAAGAAGGGACTTTTTTGGGTGTTCAAAACTAAATGGTCCTATTTTCGTGTTATATCATTTAATGCTTTCTGGAAAATTTTTATGGTTCGGAAATTCGGTTTCGGATTTTTGGGGAGTTAAATTTTGGTGCAGGGATTTTTTTGGGTTTTGATATTTGCCTCCATTCGATCATCCCTGTCACTTGAAATCCAGAGGCCCCCCCCCCCCAGGAAGCATATCAGGTTCAATTTCATTCATTTCCTGCATGAATTTCTATGGTAGTTCTTGGACCAAAAATGGGCCAAAGGAACATGAAAACATAATATGTGATCCTCCATATGATTTCAGGGACAAAGGTGATAACATGCTCACACCACAATTCCACTTTAAGCAAAAGAAATTGACTTTCACATGCTTACAAAGCACACTAGAGCACACTTTAATGAGGCTATGCTTTTGTCTCATAATTATAACACACTAAAAACAATAAAAGGTGCATCATAGAACAATGAAGCGTGAGCAGCCTAACACGGAAAGTGTGTTAACTTTTGACAACAAAAGCTAGCGTGCAAGAAGACACCAAACTCAAGCGAGCAACTTAGTGTGCTACATGTACATCGCATGCAAACTTACTGGATGAGAAGTGAAAGTAACATTATTGTAACACAATCATCGTACAATCATTCTTATCTGAAAGCCAAAGCTCTTATCAGTAAATAATTAGTCAGCTTCATGATCAGAAAAACAAAGCTGAAACATTTTCTACAAAGGAGTCAAGGATTTAAACCAGACTCTTTGAATTTTCGGCTCAAGTGGAGCCTGTTTTTTTTCCCAAACATCACAAACGTATTTCTTTTAGCTTTCTTTGAGAGCACCTTCAATTTTAAGGTAGAAATAATACTGAACGAATTACCTCGACCGCATAACATGAGCTAACACATCAATATAACCAAGTTGTTGATGAATCATAAAACTTAAGCTAGAAAATTATTATTATGAAGTCTATCTTTTGAAGTGTAGAAAGTGTGTTTACTTTTGGAGCATAGCCTGTGAAGGTAGATGTACATATTTGCGTTCTTCTCATGTGACAGGTTGAAGAAAGATTGAAATACAGCTGCCGAGAATCTTTTTCTGGTTTTAACTGTAATGTTTTTGCGATGGGATAAAACCGCAAAGCACACGACAAAAAAGACAAAGATAACACAGAATAAATGATCTGAGAAATTTCTGAGTGTCCCGTCAATGTAGCAAGACAAAACACTACTGCTTCGATTGTTACAAATCGATACATGTCACATGTAATCTGAAACCTCTCGCTTTCACACACATCAAAAGTTTTTTCTAGACCTAATACATACAACAGTAACCTAACATTTTTAAAAGCAAGGGGAAACAGTCATGATTATAATACAGTGAAACCTGTATTATGCAGACACCATATTAAGCGGACACCCTCTATTAAGCGGACACTAGCCGAAGTCCCCAAATTTATTTCCCTTATTTTCTTTAAATGAAACCTTTATTAAGCGGACACCTCTATTAAGCGGACGCGGACACCTAAAAAGTACGTGAAATGGTCATTTCTATTGTTGCCAACCTGTATTAAACAGACATTTGTAATCAAATTCCACCACCCAACACGCTAGACACCGGAAATGCGAAAGATTGCCTCCAATTGCCACCCACAATTTTTTCGATTTCACATTAAAAAACATGACTTGGCGAGCTTATTTGATTAGTTTCACAGTACAGTATTGTTTTCTTTTTCGTTTTGTTTGTATAGAGCTTGTTTCAGTCGTCTGATTTCTTCAAATTTGAGTTGCAATCTATGTTTATGGTACTATGATCAATTGGTCCACTTTGATAAAGAAATTAATGCAAAACGTACATCGTCACAGTCTCTGGGAGTATTCTAAACGTTTCCATTGTTCATTTGAATGGCATTTGACACCTCATATGACGTTATCTATCAAAACCTGTATTAGGTGGACACCCTGTATTAAGTGGACACTACAGCATTCCCCGAGGGTGTCCGCTTAATACAGGTTTCACTGTACTGAAGGTTTTTCTAAGACTTGTGGATTCATTCGAGATCATTGTTTTAGGCAAGAAATATCATCTGCACTACAGCAGAAGTCTCAGAAGAGAATTTCAAGTGCTTGTTTGTTTACTTTTTATCGGTGGACATTTTTTGCCTAAAGCTGGCGATCAAATGTTTTACCTTTTCATTGCAAAAGTGCAAAAAGAGCAGGGAATTTTGTTGTTTGTTCACTGGAAGTTGGCATGAAGGCTTATATTTTTCAAGGTACATTTTGTTTTACTTTAGCGTGTTAATCTGTGTTAACTTGCACACTGAGCGTGTCATCGATCACACTTGACTAAAACAAAGGGTTAGCGTGCTAAATACACTGAAACAAAACATAGTGTGACCTTGTTTGCTTCAGCAATTGAATATGTGCATGAAGTGTGTCTTTGGACACACTAAGCATGTTGCATTACGAGCCGCAAGGTCGATTTTCGTGCACGCACCAGGGATCCTTAATTTCCATGGAGATACCCACAAACTGGACTCAAGTAACTACAAGGCGTTAGTCTTGACATATTTCCTTGCGCACCTCAGGTGTTCACATTAATCGCTTTCTGTCAGTTCATCTGTCAATAACCTCATTTTAGGACAGGACACAAATTTGCGTCAAATATCAGAGCTTGTCTTCTGCGCGCCGAATTTATACCATCGGAGCGAGATATTTTAACTCAGCTATGGTTCTCGTCAAAATCACTTAATGAAAATACTTAAATTCATGGTTGGTGTTAAAAAAGGGTCTTGGTGCAAGTCTTGGAAAAAAAAGAAATATTTTTTTCGTTTCTTAAGCGAAAGGCAAAATCTAGCGCTTTATGAAGGTCGAATTCGAACCCTCCAAAGTAATAATTATTCGGTACGTTACCTGGTAAGTTACATATTGTCGCCGAAATGGTTTCAAAAGTTCAACGTGAAGAGTTCTGGATGTTATTTCGCCTTATGTCCGAAGGACAGAAACTGTGTTCGCCGATATAAGGTAAGAGAGACCTTTATTATTTAAAAGGTAGAGGAGCAGCTTGTTATGGCTCTCGCATGCGGAGTTCGAGCACATCGGTGAAGCCGGTTTGACGACACTGAGGAAAACAGAGGAAAATATTTACTTGCCTTTGGTATTGTGTATATCCTCGATCACTATACAATAACGCACAAATATACAACATTTACAACATTTACAACACGCGCCAAAAGAGCCGTGATCCCGCCAAAATGCTCGAACCATCTAACAGAGTGTAAAAAGGGGGCTGGTAGGCAACACACGACTTTTACCTCGTGCCAAAATGCTGCTTGTTCCAAAAATTGTTTTCTCTGGTGGATATATTATATTCTGGGTTCTACTCTTTGAATGAGTAAATGTGAATTTTGCCGCTTGTTTCATACTGAGAGGTCATGACACGCATATTGATTTTCTGCGGTTATTGTTTCTGGTCGGCATGATTTGTCCTCTGATGCAAGAGCACTTTCTTCGACCTCTTTTGAAACGTAAATCTCTTCCTTTGCGGCTAAATAAGAGTTTTAGGTTGTTTAGTCTTCTCCAAAGTGCCTCCTGGATCTGAATAGCTAAAGGCGATATTCTTTTGTCCGTGAATGTGATGGTTTCCTTCAATTCATGTCACGCTGGGCCCAGCTCGTTTAGTATTTTCTGCTCAATGTTAGATGTTCACCGAAAGTGATTTACAGATTCAAATTTCGAGGAATGGATTATAGGAACGCATTTTGTGAAGAGAGATTTTTTAAGTAAAAAGAACTCGGATCCTTAAATCGATCGTGTTTTAGCTAGCCAATTGCAATTTTCATATGCTGTGTTAGTTCGGATAATTCAGTAGGTTATTCTCTCCTCTCCCTCTTAGCTTACAGGCGGCGCGCCCAAGTTTAAGAGGTGAAGAGAGATTTTTTTCAAGGGTAAAAAACTCGTAGCTTGAATCGATCATGTTTTACTATCTAGCCAATTGCAGTTTTTATGAGCTATGTTAGTTTGGATAATTCAGTAAATTTTTCTCTCCTCTCCCTCTTAGCTTACAGGCGGCACACCCAAGTTTAAGAGGTGAAGAGAGATTTTTAAAGGGGGAAAAACTCGTGGATTGAATCGTCATGTTTTAGCTGGCTAGCCAATTACAGTTTTCATGCGCTGCGTTAGTTTAGATAATTCAGTAAATTTTGCTCTCCTCTCCCTCTTAGCTTACAGGCGGCACACCCAAGTTTAAGAGGTGACGAGAGATTTTTTTCAAGGGCAAAAAGTTCGTAGCCTGAATAGACCATGTTTTACTAGCTAGCCTATTGCAGTTTTTATACGCTGTGTTAGTTTGGATAATTCAGTAGGTCATTCTCTCCTCTCCCTCTTAGCTTACAGGCGGCGCGCTCAAGTTTAAGAGGTGAAGAGAGATTTTTTTCAAGAGTAAAAAACTCGTAGCTTGAATCGATCATGTTTTACTACCTAGCCAATTGCAGTTTTCATGCGCTATGTTAGTTTGGATAATTCAGTGGATTATTCTCTCCTCTCCCTCTTAGCTTACAGGCGGCGCGCCCAAGTTTAAGAGGTGACGAGAGATTTTTTTCAAGGGCAAAAAGCTCGTAGCTTGAATAGACCATGTTTTACTAGCTAGCCAATTGCAGTTTTCATACGCTGCGTTAGTTTGGTTACTCTCTCCTCTCCCTCTTGGCTTCCAGGCGGCACGCCCAATTTTAAGAGGTGAAGAGAGAAATATTTAAATTGAAACACTCGTAGCTTGAGTCGATCATGTTTTACTAGCTAGCCTATTGCGGTTTTTATACGCTGTGTTAGTTCGGATAATTCAGTAGGTTATTCTCTCCTCTCCCTCTTAGCTTACAGGCGGCGCGCCCAAGTTTAAGAGGTGAAGAGAGATTTTTTTTAAGGGTAAAAAGCTCGTAGCTTGAATCGATCATGTTTTACTACCTAGCCAATTGCAGTTTTCATGCGCTATGTTAGTTTGGATAATTCAGTGGATTATTCTGTCCTCTCCCTCTTAGCTTACAGGCGGCACGCCCAAGTTTAAGAGGTGAAGAGAGATTTTTAAAGGGGGAAAAACTCGTAGATTGAATCGTCATGTTTTAGGTAGCTAGCCAATTGCAGTTTTCATGCGCTGTGTTAGTTTAGATAATTCAGTAAATTTTTGTCTCCTCTCCCTCTTAGCTTACAGGCGGTGCGCCCAAGTTTAAGAGGTGACGAGAGATTTTTTTCAACGGTAAAAAACATCTTAGCCTGAATAGACCATGTTTTACTAGCTAGCCAATTGCAGTTTTCATACGCTGTGTTAGTTTGGTTACTCTTTCCTCTCCCCCTTGGCTTCCAGGCGGCGCGCCCAAGTTTAAGAGGTGAAGAGAGATTTTTTTAGATTGAAACATTCGTAGTTTGAGTCGATCATGTTTTACTACCTAGCCAATTGCAGTTTTTATACGCTGTGTTAGTTTGGTAAATCAGTAGATTATTCTCTCCTCTCCCTTTTGGCTTACAGGCGGCGCGCCCAAGTTTAAGAGGTGAAGGGAGATTTTCTTAAAGTGAATAGTACATAGATAAAATCGATCGTGTTTTAGCTAGTAAATGCAGCTTTTTTTACATTGCTTTAGTTTGTATAATTCGGTAGATTTTTCTCTCCTCTTCCTAATGGCTTACAGGCAGCGCGCCCATTCTTAAGAAGCTGTGATAAAGTATAAAGTAAGTCACAGCTTGAATCGATCGTGTTTTAGCTAGTCGTTACAGAGTTGTTGTTTTTGTTCATATTTTGTTTTTGTTAGTGTATATAATTCAGTAGATTTTTATTTTCTCTCCCTCTTAAGTCTTTAGCTCTTATGCGATGCGCCCAATCTTACGACGAGTGGTGTTGGTTTCAAAAGCGAAATTTAGTCATTGTGATTTTTTTTCTGATCTACGGCTCTCAGTCTGGATAATATTCAGCGTGATGCCTGTGTTTGATGTACACCGGAAACCGGAAAAAAGCTAGTTTTGTCCGCGGGCGGCAATACTTTAATTTCGACAGTTTAAGGTAAAATATTAAGATAATGTCTAAATCATTTGTGAACTGTGATAGTTTTTTTTTGCGTAAATATCTCTCTTCGATCAAATGTGACAATTAGGCCAGATTTATACTAGGGTTGTAAAAATTTCCTCCGTCTATGTTGAAACCGAACAAACCTCGCGGGTATCTGCTTTGGCGGGTGATCTCCCTGAGAGATAATTGAGTTGTTGTTTTCATTGTTTATTCATCAAGTTCTCAGTTGTAATTATTTTTCGGTAATATTCTTCTTATTTATTGTTTATTGAGTGGGTCGACTAAAATTAAAGACGAAGAGTGAAGCTCCAATGCAGAATTTTTGAAGTCTATTTGATATTATGCTTTCGACAGTGCACGTGAATAGCAACTAGGTTGGGTGTCCACTTAAGATAAACTGGATTAAGTGTCGAAGATGAAAGATTGCTCAATAAAACGAACATTGTTGACAGCTTTAAGATAGGCTCAGGGTCTCTTGATGTAATATAACCCTTGGTTCAAAACAATAGACTTGGCGCCTCGCCCTTCAGAAATATGCGAAGATTGCGACGCTGAACGTCGCAATCCCCCGAAAATCAGATTAAGAAAAGGTTATCGCTTTCTGATTCGATGTCACAGTAGGCTGCAAACATTCTCAAAACAAAGGTGTATGTTATTGTGCGATTCTTCACCGACGGTAATTTTTATCAGCGTTTTTATAAGGCTCATCGCGTATCAACGGCGCTTTTCAAATTAGCCTAAAAAAGTTTTTTCGATCGGGCAAATTATCGATTAGTTTCGGTTCTGATCGCCAGCTGTTTCAGAAGCAAGGACTTCTTATGGTCAAAACCAATGAGATTTGCTAGATAACGTCAAGGCTGTTAATCCACATGCATATGCATATTCCATGATAAAATTATTCGGTTTTCAAGATCTTGTTTTAGTCCAAAACCCGGTGAAGCGATAGTGTATTTTTATCGCTGAGTACACTCCATTAATTAATTCCTTGAACTCAGCTTCCCGTGAAGCATGAAATGAAACGTTAATTTTCCAAGACTTGATCATTAATTTCAGCCAAAAAATCTCTTGACGCGCCCTCACTGAAAACGCGGTCAGCAAACTGCGCACGCATTGGTCTTGGGTTATCATCACGCCAAATAAAATGACTCGACCAAGGGTCATCGCTCGGCAGGAAATTGTATACTGTGATGAGCTTTGATCTCG